CGTAAATTTACTGGGAGAAATTTAGAAATGTGATGGAAATACCATACTTTGAAGCATCCAGGTGTAGTGACAAAACCTGATGTGCACTCCTGGAGCCTTGGGAGCTATGCTTATGGGTAGTAGGGCATAATACTGGGGCTCCTACACTTGCTTGATGTAGGGCTTATAACCTTGTACCAGTTGTACAGTTGCACTGCTGTATGAAATGCCTGGCCTTGACCTCCTGTATGCTGCTTCCTGCCATTTATTTCCCCCTAAATGAAAATGCAGACTAACATCATTTACCAAGTCTGAAAATTTACATGAACTTCAGGCGACACCCACTGATAAAGCATTCTTACTGGAACTCCATTAAATGTAAAGCTGGGCAAGAATCATAATGTTGTACTATAGCACTAGATCCTCTCATTCAATACAGACTTGGGATCCATGTACATAAGTCAACATTTTTAGTTTTCTTTTTCAAGTTTGGCACTTTTAAGAGAAACCAGAGTATAAACTATTAAGTAGTCAGGCGCTGGTGGCTCATGCCTATAAATTTAGCTACTCAGGAGGCAGAAATCAGGACTGCGGTGTGAAGCCAACCTGGGCAAATAGTTTGTGAGTTCCTATCTCAAAACAACCCAACACAAAAAAAGGCTGGTGGAGTGGCTCAAGTGATAGAATGCCTGCCTAGGAAGTGTGAGGCTCTGAGTTCAAACTCCAGTGCCACCAATGTATTAAGTTTAATTATATGTGTATGCCATTACAAAGATAGGTTTTTATCTTTGCCTACATTCATTAAAAGAAATGCTAAACTTAGAAGTTAGTGGAAACACTGAATTTTGTAGGGTGCTTGTGGCTCATGCCTGTAAATGCTAGCTACTTTGGAAAGCTGAGATCTGGAGGATGAAGGGTTGATGACAATCCAAACAAATAGTTTGCCATACCCCCATCTCCAAAATAACCAGAGCAAAATGGACTGGAGGCTTGGTTCAAGTGGTAGAGTGCCTACCTTGCAAGAGTGGAAGTCCTGAGTTCAAACTCCAGACCCACCAATTTTTTAAATAGTGTTATCAAGTTTCACAGTACTTGAAAATAAATACATGTTCCTCTTTAAATCCCACAGAAAGAACATTTCCACTTGTGACCTCTCTGCTTCTCTTATCTGGTTATTATTAGGGATCCCAGTGTTTCATATAAATGAACTTTTAACGTGATTTGAGAACCAACACTTTTATGTTACTCCCTTATTCAACAGATTGAAAGTGACTGTTATCCTTTTAGGGTCATTATGACAATAGATTTTTAGCCCTTTTGTCATACTACTTTTATCCCTCAACTTTCAACACTAATCAATAGGATTGTGTGGGTCTTTAGGTTTTGTTTGCTATCTGTATATTTAAAATTATTGTGCACACAGAAATTGCTATATTCTAAAAACATTTTTTTACTTGTACACTGTATTAAATATGTAAGGTCTTTCGTGTAGGTATTAATTACAAAAATAAAAATATTCTCTAAATAAAAAATATAAACTTACCATATAAAGCATTTGGAAAGTGCAGTTCTGTGGCATATTCGTATTTTTGCACAATCAACACTATCCCTCTTCAGAACTTTTATCTCTAGAGATAAATTTTATGCTCATTAACTTCCCTTCCCTATTTCAATATATTTAATTTTTCCAAATTAAAGTGACCGGAGCTACTCTATTCTAAAACTGGTGCTTCAACGCAGAGAAACTAAAGCAGATACCTTAAAGCAACTGAGGCCAATAGGAAAAGGGGAACAGGTACTAGAGAAAAGGTTAGATCAAAAAGAATTAACCTAGAAGGTAACACCCATGCACAGGAAATCAATGTGAGTCAATGCCCTGTATAGCTATCCTTATCTCAACCAGCAAAAACCCTTGTTCCTTCCTATTATTGCTGATACTCTCTCTACAACAAAATTAGAAATAAGGGCAAAATAGTTTCTGCTGGGTATTGAGGGGGGGGGAGAGGGAGGGGGCGGAGTGGGTGGTAAGGGAGGGGGTGGGGGCAGTGGGGAGAAATGAACCAATCCTTGTATGCACATATGAATAATAAAAGAAAAATGAAAAAAAAAATCTTAGGGGAAAAAAACTCAAAAAAAAAAAAAACAAAAAAAAAAACTGGTGCTTCAGTTACCCAGGTGTCCATACTCACTCCCCTCAGGGGAGAGGAAGACAGTCTTCTTAGGCCCTGTTTGATAGTGACCATTTTCACAATGATCAACTAATCAATTTAACATTGCCACTTAACTCACAACATATAGGGCACTACCTGTATCAAAGGGGGATCTTTTGAAATTTATATACAAAGCATTATATGCCTGATGCTGGTGACTCATGCCTATTATCCTAGCTACTTGAAAGGATCACCGGAACAAATAGTTCTGAGACCCCCATCTACAAAAAAACCCCAACAGACCAGCTAGGGACCAGTGGCTTATGTTGGAAATCCTAGCTACTCAGGAGGCAGAGATCAGGAGGATAGTGGTTCAAAGCCAGCCCCAGGCAAAGTTTGTGAGACTGTATCTTGAAAATACCCAACACAAAACAAGGATGGCAGAATGCCTCAAGTGATGAGTCCCTGTCCCTGACTAGCAAGTGAGGCTGGGGTTTCAAATCCCTCAAAAAAAAAAAAAAAAAAGCAGAACTGTAATACAGAAATTTGAAAATTAAATGCATGAACTTATTCCTACACTAAGTGACCACCAGGTAAACATACTTGAATTGCACATCACAGATATCCCTGTGGAGACTTAAAGAACAGTAAACATTTTTTGTACTAATGTGTCACCTCATCTTCATTTAGTTCATAAACCCTCTTTTACAGTACTGTTTTGGAAAACCCTTTTATTCTATTTGTGTGTTCAAATTTTGGAAGCTACTTAGACCTCTTTTTTTCTGTATGCATCACTGCCATCAATAATGTTTTCACCTAACCTTTTACCATGAGATTAGAAAAAATGCAATGACTTTGACCATTTGATTCATTTAATTTCAAATTAATTGGGTGGGAAAATTTCATATATCAAAATTAACCTAAAGCAGTAACTTTAACATCAGGGCTGGGCATATTTCCACCTTTATGTTAACTGGCCATGATCGTACACCTGTCACCCTAACTATTCAGGAGGTGAGGAGGAATGTGGTTCCAGGTCAACCCAGGCACAAGTTAGTGAGACTCTTATGTCAAAAATAAGGCAGGCATGGTGTGCACGCTAGTGGTCTCAGCTACTTGGGAAGACAGAGGCAGGTGTTCTCAGCCGGGGTTGGCCCACGGAAATACAAGACCTATCTGAAAAACTAAAAGCAAAAGGATTGAGGGGCATGGCTTAAATGGTAGAAGCTTACCAAGTTCAATCTGTAGTACCATTAGAAAAAGAGGGACAAAACATACGTACTTTTTTGTTTTGAAAGAGACTGCTGTTTTTCAAACTTAATGGATTCTGTGAGCCAAGATAAAAGCAGGAACCACTGTAAGAAAAGTTTAGAGAACAAAACCAAACTTTCTTACCTCTCAGTGGTGAAAAAATGTTGTTCAAGACAGGGTGCAGCTGATCCTCCTGCTACCACCTTCTTGGGTTGTTGGGATTAACAGACGTACAACATTTGCCCACACATGATCAACTTTAAAAACTTGCATGAGTGCTATCATGCCGTATTTTTCCAGTCTGGCTTTTTTCACTTAAACACAATGTCTCTTGGTTTCATGTGTTTTAAAGAACCCCTCTCCCTAACAGGGCTGGCAGACTGGATACAAGGGTAGAGTTGCCTACGGGAAGCGTGAGGCCATGAGTTCAAACCCCAACGCTGGGTTGTTGGATTACAGACGTACAACCACTTTGCCCCAACATGATCAACTTTAAACTTGCATGAGTGCTATCATGCCGTATTTTTCCAGTCTGGCTTTTTTCACTTAAACACAATGTCTCTTGGTTTCATGTGTTTTAAAGAACCCCTCTCCCTAACAGGGCTGGCAGACTGGATACAAGGGTAGAGTTGCCTACGGGAAGCGTGAGGCCATGAGTTCAAACCCCAACGCTGCAGGCCAAGTTCAAACCCCAATACTCCCCTCCCACACAAAGATCCCCCCACACTTGTGTGTGGTGTGGGGACAAATGGGTCTATATGGCCCAGGCTGGTCTCCTGGGCTCAAATGATCCTTCTGCCTCAGCCTCCAGAGTAGCTGGGAGTATAGTGAACACTATAGCACCTAGCTAGGATTTCATTCTTTTAAAAGGCTGAGTAGAATATATACCACATTTTCATTGTCTCTCCAACCTCTGATGGGACACTCAGATTTACGCCATTGTCTTGGAAGTGCAGTTATCTCATTAACACACTAATTTCACTTTCCTTGACTGGATATCCAGGATTGAGATTGTTGCATCAGAGGAACCTCCATTCTGTTTTCCATAATAGCTTTATTAACTTACATTCCTGCCAACAGTGTATAAAGGTTCCCTTTTCTCTACACCTACCAACACTTGTTCTTTTCTTTTTGGTAGTACTAGGGTTTGAACTCAGGGTTCACCACTTGCTAGGCAGGCTCTCTATTGCTTGATCCACACCTCCAGCCCATCTTCTGACTGTTTTGATAACAGCCACCCCAGCAGATTTTCTCTTTAAGCCAGAGATCCCCAGTCTTTTTAACAACCTAATTTAACAACAAAAACCCCGTAAGACACCCTTTATTGAGAAAAAAAAATTTTTTTTTAAGTCTTTCAAAAAGTTAACTTTGATACAGGATTGTGCCACACTTTAATTCCATAGATTTATAATATAACTTTGTTCCTAATAGCTTGAAGAAGAAGAAAAAAAGAAGTGCATAGCATACCATCCTTTTTTTGTGTGACTGGGGTTTGAACTCAGGGCCCTACATCTTGAGCCACTCCACTAGTCCTTTTTGTGATGGATTTTTTTGAGAAACGGTCTCACACACTATTTGCCTGGGCTGGCTTCAAACTGAGATCCTCCTGATCGCTGTTTCCTCAGTAGCTAGGAAAACTGGCCTGAAACCACCAGTACCCGGTGCATACCAGTTTTGTTTTTTTTTTTTTAAAAAGGTCACATGAAATACCCTCCCATGTTATCTTTCTCATTATAGACTGTGGAATACATAAATTGGGGAATGTGGGGAAAAGAAATGGTTTGCAAATTAATCCAGTTATTGTTTTTCCACTGTGTCAAAATAAACAATCAATCCCATTTTCAAAGAAATTAACCTTTATTTTAAAGGAGACTACTTTTCCCCAAATGTATATTCTAACAACTCTATACAACAGCCTGCTTAACCAATGTTCCAAACCAAAATTTCTAACAGCAAATTATACAATTGCTCTAGGTAATAAATAAGGGTCGTCCTTCACTGATTTAAGGGAATAAACTTCAGTAAATTTAACACAAAAATCACACTTTAAGTTTGTAAAGTTTAACAGATGTATTTCAAACACAACATGTTCGGTAGGAGTCTACAAGCTTTTTCATCTCTAAAAAGTGACTTAATTTTTCGGATTTAAAATTACATTCTTTAAAAGAAATGTCCAAGTGTTTTCTTCTGAAGATTCAAACTTTCTACACTCAACTATTTGTTCCATGCTGCTCAGACAAACCTGACATGACTGAACTACTTCATGTGTTACTATCTTCCTTAAGAGAAAGTTAAAAAATGAGTTCGTCATAAATGCAGGTCTCTAGTACAATGTCTACTACAGTATCTGACAAAAAAGCTTTAAAAAAGATCTTTTTTTTCCTTATCTAATTAGCTAGGAGATAATTCTCTGTAAAGGCAAAGAAAAATCACTTAGAAAGCATAACACTGGGTTTTTTTACTCAGTATGTTTAACTACTCCAAATGACAACAATTTCATCTTTAACAGTATAACAAATGGGATGGAAAACAGCAACACAACTGACAAAGTGTAGATGCTAAATAAACCAAGGAATTTTGCACTAGGAAGGATTTAAAAGCTTGGGGAAATCCAGAATTAAAAAAAGAGAGAGAAATGGAAAATAAAGAGAAATAACATCCTGAACTGCAACCATTCCATTGTCAATAGCGTCCTGAAAGAGAAAGAGTAACAGAAAATTAGAATGACATTTACAGTTTGACTTGCCTAATATATTTACAATGGTTAACTACCACATACCCTAATATTCCAAAATAAGCTATTAATCACAGTTTTTTGCTTATTGTTGAACCAAATCCTGTTATATGGTCCAGGTTGGTCTTAAATTAATCATCATACTGCCTTTGCCTCTTAAGTGATGGAATTTCACTCTTAAGTGATGGAATTTCAAGACATGTACTGCTGTGCTGAGTAAAAAATAAGGTTTTAATGTTACAAAAGCAAAATTCACATACTTGGGCTGTAGGAACGAGATCTTGATCGTGATCTGTATCGACTATAATAAGGAGAAGGTGATCTTCTTCTGTAAGAAATACATGTTACTTAGCATGTCACACAGCCACTCCGCCAAAGTAGATGAAAATAAAAATTCCTTATCACTCAAATGTAAATAATCTCTTTTCTTAAAGTATTATATCTTTGCAGTGCTGGGGATTGAACTCAGGGCCTACTAGTATACCAGGTAATCACTGTACCACTGAGTGACATCCCCAGCCCTACAACTTATACCCGCCCGCCCACACCCCACCCCCACCCCGGCCAATTCTTAGAGTAGTTTCAACAGGTCTCATTTTTCCATTTTCTTTTTTTTTTCCAGCACTAGGGTTTGAACTCAGAGACTACACCCTGAGTCACTTCACCAGCCCTTTTTTGTGATGAGGATGGTTTTTTTTTGAGACAGGGTCTGTCTCTCCAACTACCTGCCCCAGCTGGTTTTGAACTACAATCCTCCTGATTTCTGCCTCCTGAGTAGCTATGATTACAGTGTGAACCACCAGTGCCCAGCTCTTTTCCATTTTCATACATAGGTACATCATATTTCTACCATATTCACCCTCCTACCTGTCCTTTTTTTTTAAAAAGGGCATTTTTGTTTAAGTTATATACTTAAAAAGGGCATTTTTGCTTAAGTTATATTCCATTTGTATGCCTACAACTTATTTTAAACATCAAATTATCTTTTCTTTTTGGTAAAGACAGTCTACTTTTGTCATCGCTAGAGTCAGGCAACTCCCATCTTGGTCTCCCAAACAGTGGGATGCACAGGCCCAAACATACAAAGTTGTTTTTGTGTACTGGGGTTTGAACTCAGGGCCAATACCATGAGCCACTCCACCCGCCCTTTTTTGTGATTTTTTTTGAGATAGGGTCTCACAAACTATTTGTCTGGGCTGGCTTTGAATCAGATCCTCCTGATCTCTGCCTCCTGAGTAGCTTGGATGACAGGCATAAGTCACCTTGGTGAACGTCCAGTTCTTATTCATAAGTAAGATGCCAAATAATACAGCCATCACCCAATTCAGAACAAAAATCCCAAGTTAAAACATTACCTGTACCGGTAATCATAATCTTCGTATCTGTCATAGCCTCGATCGTATCCTCTATCATAGTAAGAATCTCGACGTCTGCCACCACCACCACCGCCACCGCCGCCGCCACCACCACCTCCACCACCACTACTGTAGAAAGAAATGTAAAATTTGTAGCATTAGTGTAAATAGATGTTTTCCAGGATCATTTAATACAAACTGGTACCCTAAAAAAAAAAAAAATAGACGGAAGGAGAGAGATAAGAATAACCCTTTTTCATGCCAAATGCCCCACATCTCATTTTGTTGACTTCCATGATTTTGTTTTGGCTTCTGTGTCATTTCATATTACATGTTTTCACAAAACTCTCCAAGCCAAATCCTCTAAACTTCTATTAATGCACTACCCAAGTCACCAAGACCTGTTCAACAAAGTAAAATGAAACACCTGTTGGAAAGCAGCACCAAAATGCTAAAATTATGCCTGTAAGTAACTGAAAGGCAAATAAGAAACCAAGAATAAAGTAACAAACCCCAAACACCAAAAACAATTATCTACCTTATATTGAGGTTCAGGACTACAACAATTTTAAGATCTGATGTTTAAACTTTTGGAGTAAGCCCTCTCCCCATAGTGTGCCCTAACCTTAGGGATAATATTTCTACTTAAGTTTTCCACTGGCTGTCCTTACCCAAACCCAGTTTTTTCAATAAAGCTTCAAACTAAATGAACATATGTATTCCTTCTTTTACTCTTACAAAACAGTTCTGATATACACAAAACAGTTCTGAATACTGTTTTGGGATGTATATTCAAAAACATTACAAAAGGCTCCTATTTAGGTTCTGATCAATTTGAAAATTATAGCCTTTTAAAAAACAAATGTTAGTACCAATAAAATCTGGTACAGCACCTGCCTAGCAAGCAATAAGCCCTGAGTTAAAACCCTAATACTACCAAAAACAACAACAACAAAAAACAACCATTACAGAGGTCTCCCATGTCATAAAAGATCAGAAAGGGTAATAAATATTTAAATAACACAAATCTTTCTAGTATTTAGGAATTTTTCTATTTGTATCATACCAAGAGCCAAGAATGTACTTCAATAGGTTTATTTTGTCCTCCTGCATAAATACATTAACAGTATTTTTATGTATTTATAAGTGAATAAAATAGGTTCAAATAATTAAATTTTTACAAAAGTGGATCCAAACAATATATGTAACTTAAATAACCTTATAGAAAAATTTATAGAAATTTCTCATAAAAAATTATCTCCTAGTCAAAATTTTATACATTTCTAGTAATTTTTTGGCTCGTGGTTTAGCTTAGGAAACCTGGGAATGAATGAATGAATTCATCCATCCATCCATTCATTCATTTGCAGTGCTGAGGCTTGCACATTCTAGGCAAGCACTGTACCACTGACCCCGAGCCCTTTGAAATCTAAAATCTTACTGAGTAGGTCTGCCCATGTAGATGCCTGGTGTAGGTGTATGGGCTCTCTTGGTGATAGAATAATCCACACGAATTCTTCTACCATCTAGCTCCATTCCATTTGCCCTTTCCATAGCCTATAAAGGAGAAAAGGCACAAAAAGCCATTTATAATTCATTATCCTTGAAATTATTACTTAAAGTATCTGTAATCCAAAAAAGCCATCCTAATTTTGAAAATGACACAGCAATGCAGCTTTGTACAGTGAATTATATAGACATTTCTAGACTTCAATATTGTCCAGGACATACCTAAATTTACTCAGCCAAAATAGTAATAAACCTTCCCAAGTAATTTTGTGGCTTAGTTCCTATTCCTCAATCCATGTAATCAACAAGGGGAGTTTGTATGTATAGTCTTTTCAAGCTCAAGTTTCTGAAGGTTGTCCAGGTAGGCTGCCATTTCATACTTCTTTAAAGTCTCCAGCCATTTCATTTAGAAAGACTGACTAAACATTAAGAATAGCGACCTAAACTTTAAATATGTCCTATTTATAATTCACTCTACTCTTGTCCTTTAGTATGCAGCTCAATATGCTGATAAGACTTAGGTAAGTAGCCAAGAACAAATAATTATTTAAAGGGAATCAAGCATGTGTTAACACCTTTCAGCCTCTTGCTGAGGATGAACCAATGAAGACACAATTTTAATGTAATTCACAAATATATTTCACTTTAAGAGTCCCCCAGAGCTGGGCTTAGTAGTGAATATCTATAATCTCAGCACTCAGGAAGCAAGGAAGGAAACCTGAGTAACTAGACTAATCTTGGCTGCAGAACAAGACCCAGTCCCCAAGTCTCCCTTTCACAAGTCTAAATACCATTACCCAGTGAGTTCCAAACATAAAGTAACGTTGCCATTTTTATTTTATCCTGAAACAAATGGAGAGAATCAAGAACTAAGAAAGAAGATTCACATGGAAAAAGTGTGTATGTGTTTCACTTCATAGGGTTTCATTATGTAGTCCTGCCTGGCCTAAATCTTGAGATCCTCATGTCTCAGCATCAGAGTGCTGGGATTACAAGTGTGGCATGAAAAATGTGTTTGTATTTGCACTTCACAACTTTCCTTTTAGGTCACATATCTATCCTACCATTTCTAAATTTACACATTTATCTTTTAACTGAGAATAGGAACAAACAAATCACAAAATACAAAACAGTTTTTAAAACAAGTGATGATACTGACCAATTAGAACACTGGTGTCCCTATTACATAAATGACTTACAACTAAAGCATTATTTTGTTAGAATTATCCAGAGTTTCTCTCTCTCTCTCTCTGGAAGATAAGTCACTTTGAAGCCTTTCTTTGAACTTGTGGGCTCAACTTACCTTTATACTTCAGCTTCCTTAAAAAGGACTACATACGTGTGTCACCATACCCAGTGGACTGTAGGACTATAGCAGCATCTCTGGCTTCTACCCACTAGATGCCAATATCATCTATTATTTTTGAAAGATACACCAATTTTTATTATGACTACTTATGTTGCGAGTATCAACTCATATATTAATGTTCAGTTATAGGACAGGATAGTAATTTAAATACATTAAAAGACAAAGTTCTATATTTATACATGGGGGGCTAGTTACAAACATAAATTAAAATAAATTAGAATTTAGCTTAATCACATTTGGCATACTGATAGGGCTTATTCAAAAAAGAACACTTATATACTTTACTTTTTCCATTAAGTCAAAAATATTACCCTTACTTTACAAGCCAGATTTCAATAAGATTAACTACACCAAAAAGCATAAGCTTAACAGTCACACTATGGAGCTGGATGTGGTAGTGTTGAGAAGGGGAGGCAGCCTGGGCTGCATAGTGAGATTATTTAAAAATAAAACAAAACCTGTGAAACTGTGGCCATTCTAACTGTAACACTGAGAGGCTGAGTTTGAGTCTGATTAGAGTTCTGTTTACGGAAATGAGAATTAGTAACTGACAGTAACTCAACCCTGTTAAGTATAACAAAAAGTTTTTCAAAATGAAAATTAAGGAAACTTGCCTCTTTGGAGTCATCTATTCTCTCAAAATACACAAAAGCAAATCCACGGGATCGCCCAGTACGCTGATCATAAACTACATTGACACCACTCAATGGTCCATATCGAGAAAATACTTCACGAAGATCTCTCTCTGTTGTGTACAAACTTAGGCCAAATACCCCCAGACAAGTGTTGGGATCTGGATTTGCCTAAAAAATGAAGATGGTGTTACGTTTTAGTCAAACCTCTGAATAAAAATAAAATACACAATTTACTTTGCTTAGAACACCCTGACCTACTACACAGAACTACTAAACAGAAGATATTGTTTCTAGTAACTGGATATGATTTTTTTTTTTTGCAGTATTGGGGTTTGAACTCAGTGCTAGGTAGGTGCTCTACTGCTTGAGCTCACCTCCAGGCCCTGGAAATAAAATCATAAGAGAACCACGCAGGTGAGCCATATTTTACAGTTCACAGAACATTCAGACTTTCTTTGGAGTGTATATTCTAGTCACAGCCTGAATAGAAATGTTCCTATTCTCTAGCCCAGTAATTTTCAAAATGCATCTTAAGAATTTACTTTTTAGGGCTTGGGGCCTTGCTCAAGTGCTCTAAGTACTGGGTGGGGGCAGGGGAGAAGCATCCTAATAGATTAATCTATCTTACTTGTAGCCAATGATTTAGACCCCTTCAAGTTTCATTCTTTAGCAAAGATATTCTTTGAATGCTTCCATGATCCAGATTTTACAATTAAATGTACCTTAATCATACTCTCTCACTACATACTTCTTAGTTAACTGAGTGCAAGTACCGTGTGGGAGAAGCACAGCATAACACAGCAGGTAAGCACAAGAACTTTAGAATGGGCGTCCTGGCTGAAACCCTAGCTCTGGCAGCTAATGCACACACACAAACACACCTCAATGTCACACATCCAAGACTTACTTTTCTTATTCTATGGCAGGATAACCTGCCTCACAGAAACATTAGAGAGGATTAAATATACTAAATTAACGTGTTAGCTATTACACAGTTTCTCATGCCTCAGCATGAAAAATCTTTCTTGCCTCCTCTCCATTGTAGTAAAACTCTGAATCTTAATATTCTCAACTCAGTTTATTCTTGTGCAGTACTGGGGCTTGAACTCAGGGTCTACACCTTGAACCACTCCACCAGCCCTTTTTTGTGATGGGTTTTTTCAACATAGGGTCTAGAGAACTATTTGCCCTAAGCTGACTTCGTATTTATGAATTCAATCCTGATCTCTGCCTCCTGAGTAGTTAGGATTACCAGTGTGAGCCACTGGTGCCCAGCTCAGTTTATTCTTTTCATTTCATTTGTTAGAACGTATTTCCCCCCAATTTCATTTTTTTTATTAAACAATATTCAATCAAGAAAACATACTGCCCTCTGTAGTAGCTTGCTAAAATGGTGATTTTCCCTTATTAGCATATCTAATACTTATTTTGAAATCTAAAGCAGCTTATTAAAAATGCTTCTGTAGTACCACTTCTAAAATAATGGCTGGGCTCTCATAAAAGCAAGATATTATGGCATGATTACACAGTTAGGAAAGAGAAAAACAAGTTTTCATTAACTTTTACACTACATACCCTGCTCCCTGTATGTCTCCTCCGGTTAGACATTGGAGAGTGACTTCGGCTCCTTCGCCGCCGGTATTCTGGTGTATAGGACCTACTTCGAGATCGTCTCCTGTGAGAGTGAGATCTGGATCGAGTGTAACGTCTATGTGAATGCCTCCTTGACCTTGACCTTTGACAGGAATAAATTTATGTAAAAATGCAAGGACTAGCACCCTTCTTATTCCAAGGTTGTATGCATGTATCTCTGCCTATTCTCAACTCCTCTGTCCTTTTTTCCTTCTTTTAGTAGTAATAGGGATCAACAAATACTGTACTGCTGAGCTATGCCCTCTGTCCCTCCTTTTGCACTTCCTAAGAAAAATATATTCTCTCTTGTTCTTTTAAGTCAACTACAACCTCCTCCGTTCTCAGTTCATTCCTTCTACACTCACCCCATTCACCTTACCTTACAAACATGTTAAAACTTTACCTTGTTTGAAACTTATCCACCCCACCTGAAAGATTAATCCAACAAATTCCTATCATTCATGACCCCACACACACACCTTTTTTTTTTTTGACAGTACTCGTGTTTTCTGTCAGGGTCTCAGGCTTACGAGGCAGACTCTTTGTCTAGTTACACCTCCAGCCCTCATGACCCATCTTTAACTAAGCTCACCCAAATCAGTAGTGGTATCTGTTGTACAAAAAAACTTCTATAAGGCATTCGATAAATGTTGTAAATGCCAAGCATGACAAAGCTTAAAAAGAGCCTTAAGGGGAAGGAAGGGAAAAGTAGGGAGGGAAGATATTATGAAACAAAGGCTAACAGTAAAGCTGGGAGACTTAAAAAGGGCTGGGGGAGTAGCTTCAGTGGTAGAAGAGGTAGAGAGAATATAAAAATAGTACAACCTATCAGGAATTAACGATATTTAAAGAACAAATGAGAATGAAAAAGTATCAAGACATCTTTATGTAATTCAAGTAAAGGGTTCTGAGAGGGAAAGAAAATATCTAAAAATAACCATTTGAGGGTGGTGGTGAGGCAAGGTATGTATAAAGAAAATCTGTCTTTGTGCAAGAATACCAAATGGAATATTACTCACTTTCCTTTGGCGCGGGGGGGGGGGTTCACTAATTTGTAACAACATTTAAAAGATCAGCAGGGACTAGAGGCATGGTGCCAGTGGTAGAACACCTACCTAACATTCACAAGATCTTGAGTTCAAAGAAAAAAAAAAAAAAAAAAAGGAGAGGGAGAGAAAAGGGTTTTTTGGGCAGTACTGGGGTTTAAACTCAGGGTCTCACAGATGCGCGCTCTACCACTTGAACCACTCTACCATCCCAAGTTTCTTTTAAACAGGAATATAAAAGTAGTAAGGGATGTATGCTATTTAATGTTCTTGGGTAACAATCAAGTGATACACAGTATTTGAGGGAAGAGAATTATTAGGTGAGGGTGGCAAACACAGAGGACCAAAGACAAAGCTATGCTCATTTCTACTTCTACACCCAAACTGTACCCAATGTTACCCTGTACATGTGGATTTAATTAAAAACTTGAATGGTTAGTAAGTCAAACATGGGCTGGATCCTGAGTAAACAGAGAAACTACTTGTGGACTTGAAAGTTTAGCTCTTTAACTGATCCTTCTGCTTCATGTCCCCTTGCAAGCAGACTGTTCAAAGACATTCCATGTCTCTATTCAAGAAGTAACAGTGACTTATCAAATAACTTATCTAGTTTTTTTTGAGGTCCAGAGGGCCTCAGGCTTGCTAGGCAGGTACTCTACCACTTAAGCTACTGTCAGCCCTTTTATTATGTTGGGTATTTTCAAGATAAGTTCTTTCAAACTATTTGCCTGGGCTGACTTCGAGCCTCAATCCTACTGATCTCTGCCTCACAAATACCTAGGATAATGGCATGAGCTACCTGTGCCTGGCTGTTCGATTTTTTTGGTGATACTGAGGCTTGAACTCATGCTTGCTAGGAAGGGACTCTACCAATTAAGTCCCCAGCCTCCAGCTGCCCAGGATTTTAACTTATTCCACTTCAGACACCTGGCCATCAGATACAGTGAACTCTGTCGTAGTGTTTGGTGTTATCAGTGGGTGGTGGTCAGGACTATGATCACCTGGAAATTTTTTTTCTCTTCAATTACATCTGGCCAGAACTTCAATCTGGACCCAAGTGTCATAACCTTCATATAAAGAATGTAGCTGGGGCTGTGGCTCAAGTGGTAGAGTATCTGCATAGCAAGTGCAAACCCAAGTTCAAATTTTAGTACAGGGAGTGGGGGGAGTGGAAAGAAAAGGGGAAGACCCAGAATGTGAATCTTTTTTTTTTTTCCCCCCAGTACTGGGGTTTGAAACATGGGTCTCAGACTTGCTAGTCCTCTACCACTTGAGCCATTCCACCAGCTCTTTTTTGCGTCTGGTGTTCCTGAGTAGCTAGGATTACCCGTGTGAACCAACAGCCCCCAGTTGCAACATAAATCTTAGAAAGCCTCTCAAATTATTTGAATCATTCTGATAACCAACTAGCACAACCCACTTCAGCCATCTCTGTACCAAATTATACACACACAAGTCTCCAATGGAGAAAATGCCTTTCTGTTGTACAAATATTGTTAGCATAAAACCAAACACTAATTCTCAAATGTCAAGCACAGTTAAGTCAAAATATATACTCAAGTTCTACTAATAGTGAGTAGCCAGTAAGTTGTGCCAAGGGATGACTTTTATTTAAGTCTTTATCTGGAATATTTTTCATTCCTAAATTGTGGAGTCTGAGAAAAATTACTTCATGATTTTGAGCCTACACTGAAGTGTCTATACAAAATGCAGCCAAGCTGAGTACCAGTGGCTCATGCCTGTAATCTTAGCTACTTGGGAGGGTGAAATCAGGAGGATCATGGTTCAAGGCCAGCCTGGACAGTTTGAGAAACCACATCTCTAAAATAACCAGAGCAAAATGGACTAGAGGTACAGCTCAGGTGGCAGAGTGCCTGCTATGCAAGTGCGATGCCCTTAGTTTAACTTCCAGTCCAGTTCCCCCGCACCCCCTCCCCCAAAAAACACAGTAGCCCAAAGAGGGAATAATCTTGGTTAAAACCCCTTTGTTGTGAAAAACCAAAGAAAAGCATTCTAAGTATTATTTGTTAAACTTACCTGGATTTTGATCTTGATCGAGAATGGGATTCAGAATGTTTGGAAACCCTTGATGGACTACGAGATCCTGACCTGCTCTCCGATTTTACACGAGCAGGAGTTCCCGTTGGAGATTTTGACTGAGAGCGAGACTCCTAACAAAGAAGACAGTATTACAAATGGCACTGGTCATGTAGATGCCTAACACCTAACATTTAAAGTACCGTAATTATTTATATTGATTGCTCCTGAAAAACAAATGGTTAGACAACACCCTCCAGAAAAAAATTTCAGCTCATTAATAACCCATTGTTAATATTTCTAACTATCCTCAATAATTCCCTACTTGAACCAGATCACCAATTGTCTATTAACTAAGTAATCATGCAAATTCATCTACAACTTGATCATACAGACACTGGAACATAAACCATACATTTACTTAACCTAGGACCCATTCATTCTTCCAGATTCTTTTAATTCTACTTCACTCTTGCTTTCTACTTCTCTTCATTCTTCATTGAGTTTTTCATTTTTCATACTTCGTGTATTCTTCCCCAATTCAAACAATTCAAAATAGCCTTAAAAAATATTCAAGTGCTTCTATCTGACCAATCTTCTGTTCAATTTTTTCCCCCATTCAATTTTAATTTTCTGATCTTTAATACTTTTCATTAGCCTTCTTTTATCTTGATTTATCTTCCACATTCTTGGAAAAAACTCTTCAATTTCTTCACGAACATTAACCTTAATGGAAAAAGAACATTTAGTATATTTAAGCACGTGGGGATTATAAAACTCTGCTGGAGTTCAGAATGTTATCTACCAAATGGAAAGGCCAGCAGGTAAAGTGCAAATAACTAGTTTATTTAAAAAAACAAAAAAACCAAAAAAACAAAAAAACCCACTTTTATAGTCTTTAAAATTGTTCAAAAGTGTATTTTCTAACCAAGAGAATTTACTGAATTTCTCTAAATGGTTTTTTTTTAAAACCATACTCTTTACCCTCCTCCCCTTTCATGTTCCATTCTAGTTCCTAAACTGTGAACACTTTTTATATATTCAATCCAAACATAAATCTACCATTAACTGTAACTTCCCCCACCTACGTATTAAGTTTCCACTATTTTATAACCTAAAGATTCTTACTGATCTTAGAATAAGCTTTCAGTAAGTCATGCTAAGAAATCTTTTATTTCTTACATACCTGTATTTCTACACACCTATCTAAACTCACACATTACAGCATACAAGCCAAGGAGCAAAGTAAAAAAAAAATTGGTAAAATCACTAACACCTCCTCCTAATTTTATTTTACCACTATCTTTGCTCATTCTGACTCTACCACCAGAAATAAACATTGCAAAGACAAGCATATTTTAAAAACCAGGGGGGAAGAAGAAGCAAAGTTTCTAACATTTCCCCTTTGCTTTGTAAATTCCTAAAATACATGTTTGTGCAAATGCACCATTTAATAATGCTATCCCACTCAGGATATATTATAATGTACAAGAAGTTATAATGGGTGTGCATCAAAACTATACAAATAAACTATAACTGATTAAAAGTTCATTTGAGAAATATAAGGCTGTCATGACCAAACCAGAATGGGTAATTTGGTTTCTCTGTCCATTTTAGACTTCATTATTAATCTAAATAATTATCCCAATTTCAATCCAATTTTCATTTACACAGCTTTCTTTTAACAGCTTTCCTTCAAACTTAATGTCAAGGACTTTTTTAATATCAAGAACAGTAAAAAATGGTAGTATGTCTATCCATTTTTTTTCAGATGAAAACAAACTGAACTATAAAACTACCTTTCTGTTTAATACCAACCTTCCCATTTAGCTGTCTACCATTAAGTCTTCCCACCACATCTTAAGACACTCCCTAAATTACTGGACAGATGCCTGGAGCACCACATTCAGTAAAGGTATGGCTAATCTGCTTGTAATCGAAATTACTCTTAGGCTGGTTGAGCACTAAACTGAAATATCTCCCTCTGACTTTCCTTTCTATAAAAGAGACCCTCTGGGCAAATTCATTTATACTACTGTTGAATAACAGTGGGTAGAATACTATCTATGAACATCATTACTGCCTGTGTTATACATACACAGTAGAAGGCTTTTGCTTTCAGGCACTATAAACCTTTAATTTTACTAGGATAGAAATAAACATTAAACCCTAAAATTTACTCTCAAATATATGAAGCTTTCTAGTACATGACAAAAATTTAACAGTCCAAATATATGTATATCTTATTTTCAAGTCTCCTCATAAACACAACTTTAATAGTTGCTAAAAAATGATCACTCCTGGAGAATTAATGTAAACAAGGTAACTCAGTAATATCTTAAAAAATTAAACTTTAAATTCCAGTACTGGAATAGCAACATAGCATTAAGGTATAACAGGATGGTCTTTTAAAAGACATCAACACATTGGTGAAGAAGCTTTGGTTTTTCCTTTTGGTGGTGCTGGGGATTTAGGCAAGCGCTTTATCACTGACTTACATCCCCAGACCAGAAGCTTTGCTTTTTATTTGAGGGTGACACAAATACCCGATCTCCTTTGTTATCTACCCTCTTCCCCCATTTCCAGGAAATTTAAATCTGTATGAATTTTTTCCTGGAATCACCAGAGGTTAAGTCCTCTTGCCTCTCCTATATCCTGTAACTGTCAGTAAACTTAACCTAAAAGCTAAAATACAAATATAAATATTTTTGTATAAAGTCAAAATACGACCTACATAAGAACTGGTGGTTGTCTTTACACAGATGGTCTTACTGATATTTATCATTTTAAAGTATCTAATTTCTCAAACACTATCACCAAATAAATGCTATTTTCACTAAACTATGCATTGGAAATGAGTTTACAGTAAGTGCCTTATAGAACCAAATGTTAGATAATCCTTTTCTCTTTACCTGTCTTTATTATGGAATAACCTTAACTTTACAGGTTTTTTTTTTGTTCGTTTGTTTTTAAGATGAGCTCACTATATTGCCTAGGCTGGTTCAAGCAATCAGTCCCCCTGTCTCAGTTTCCTAAGTATCTGGGACTACAGGATGGACTTAATTTCAACTTTTTAAAAAAGAAATGCAAATAAGTATTTAGAACTCAGTAACTTAAATTGTAAATAAAACTACTCTGCTTTCCCATACTAACCTGTTTTTAGAACTGGTCAAGGAATTCTACAAATTCTTTAGTACTGGTTCCTGAATCCAAAAAGTAAATGTGGTACCTAGCTGAAGTGGGCAGATTAATGACTTATCAACAATTTTTTTTTTCTGTATTGGGGATTAAACAGGGTCTCCTTTAGTATCACAGGTTTTAACAGAAATCTTAAATAGGCTTCTAGTCTACCTTACATACTCTAACCCGAGGAAGCCAGGCAGAAAGTTCTCAGAGCACAACAGGTTTTTGTTTTGCTGTTTGTTATAAGCACAAGTTGCTGCAGAACATGAGTAAGTCCTACATCGAGCAGTAACTGAGGTCTTTAATAATATATGCTTATTAGTATTATAATGCCAAAATATGGCATTTTAATACTTACAAAAATAAATACAAACTAATATGAACACTACATTACAACTCACTTTAATATTAAGGCCACGGAAATTCTACGCCACGTAACAGTGCCAAATTTATACATATTCAAGTATACATGAGTATAAGCTTGTAAAACAAGCTTTCTAAAAATCTATTTTCCTACACTTTATAAAATTGGAGCTTTCCAGAGAAATACAGTAGTGGATTTACATTTTATGTCCCAAAGAGGAATTTACTTAGATTACTCATGTATCTTACAATATTTGTAATTTTAAGAACTTCATTCTTTAGGACTTGTAAGCAACATTTTGTATTTACTCAATTCTAATTTTTCAGCACACAAAAATAAAAGTTCTGGGCTGGAGTCATGGCTCAAGTGATAGAGTGCCTATCTAGCAACCAAGAGGCTCTGAGTTCTAACTCTAGCAGCACAAAGGAAAAAAAAAGTCCCCATAGTCTTGGGTATGACAGGTACTTTTCTTAATAAGTTAGACTGATAAAAGAAATACTTTCAGCCTCCCTTTAAACCTATTATTAGAGCAACCCCTTAAAAAGAAGGATACTAATTATTTACAATTTATAATTTCCTTTATTTTAAGATCATTATCTGTCTGATGCATTCAGGTTTATGTGGTTTATTATCTGTAAAGGCTGACAGATATTTTAAAACCGTATGTCTATATTTTCTCTAAGGTTTGGAATAATTTTGAGAACTTTTGTAATAAATGATTAGTAACTGGGATTTATAATCAAATTTAAACCCATGCCAAATTGTGAAATTTCCTGTAAAGTTTATAATTATTTGTACAAAATTTAAATGTGGCCCATAAACCTGCCAGCTTATCATGATAAATCACAATGCTAAAAAAGCTAGTGCGTAAGTGATCATTTCGAAGGCAGTGAAAAGAAGCCTATACAAACTAATGTGGTTTAGCTATATTAAAAGCAACTAAAGTTAAACTAAGAACCAATCACAGCATTCTTGGCTTATGCTCATCTTCTGGGGTTATGGAGTATTTTATGAATCTTGAATGTCAGATGACAAGACCCTTGGTTTAAAAAAAATTTTTTTTTCCTCTCAGGTCAGGTCACTTACACCTTTTTTTCTAGTCACAACACAATAAGGAAGGGTTATATATCTATATGGCAGATCAGTTAAAGAAATAAAGAGGAACCACATTTCCTTTCATTATTTGCCTCTCAATTTTATAGTGTTTATAATCTCTTCTACATCTGATTGTTACTATTTCTCATCTCCACTTCTGTCTTACTAAATCTGTTTAGACATACGAACAAATAATAACCATTATTAATTCACTTAGCAGGGACTACACAGGTTTTGTAAAGGTACCAGGGTTAATTATATGATGACTGAGCCCCTATCAGTAACAATACAAAAGGTTTTTCCATATCCAGTCAGGTTCTGGGAAACTACTATGTTGATTATTCATGCCATTTCATACTTGTTATACTGCAAATTATAGAGGTAAATAAGGTTGGTTCACTTACAAAAGTAATTCCGTGGTCAAAGTTTGTCTTTGTCCTTTTAAAAATGACTCATCCTTATTTAAATCTCTTGATACACTTTCAGATCAAGGCCTTTTTCTTATTTTAGGAATGATACAAAGCATTAAGCATATCAGACAAATCTGTAAAATTATAGTTATGTGTTGTGGGTATAATTACTTGCACTGCCCCTTTTCAAAAACCTGCCTTCTAGTTATACTGAGCAAATTAGCACACTTCAGTGAAAGAATCTCAAATGTTAAACCCAAGACACAACTTAAGCTTAATACTATACCTACAGGAAAAGTTTCATTCTTTTTAACACGTTGATTTGATATGTGAAATTAAATTCCTGCAGCTGAACTAAGTGTTTTTAAAGCTAAAGTATATGGCATCTCCCTCATTATTTTAGAATTTCACAAATTTTTAAACCCTAATTTAAGATTTTTTTTTTTTTTTGGACAGTACAGGGGTTTGGACTCAGGGCTTTGCAGTTATTAGTGAGATTCTTTTTTCTTTTTTGGATGGATGCAGTTACCAAGATAGGTGGGTAACTAAACTTCAGAAGGGAAAAAAACCTCCTCATATTTTCACCTACTCTTAAACTATTTTAATACACTCATTCCAATCAACGCAGATGAATTTTTATTTTCCTTTACAATTTTGCCATCCAATCATCTCATATTAAGAAGAAGAACTCTAGGAGTCCTTAAAAAAAATTCCATCTATTCAATAAGCCAGAACAAGTCCTGAAAAGGCAAGAATAAGCAGTACAACCAAATACACTATATAAAGATTTATTTCCACTCCTCTTAATTTCTATAAAGGCATTGAAATTTTTAGATAAAAATCCTAATTTTGGTTGAAGTGGTATGAAGCAACAATTCATTACTTTCATGAAGATGACAGGCAAAAGCACAGCTCAAGTGCCAACCTTACTCCTAGCTCCAAAAGGACTTTTCACTCACAATGTTTGTTAACTTGTTATACATGCTCCAAGCAAATTGCTTTATGGACCTATTTATTTCAATGACACCATTATTCTCCTGGTTCTCTGGAAAAATGGTCTCAACTCATTCCCACTGCTGTCTGACCAACTATTTTTTTTTTTCATAATTTCCTTCCTTAAATATTTCAAGTTAACTTCTGTACCAGTTGTTTTGGTTGTTGCCAAAATTTATTTCCCTCTCACAATGAAGAATTCATAGATAGCTCCTTACTGCATACTGGATTAATTCCAAATTCCTAAATCTAGAATTCAAAACCCTCCATTATCTCATTACATATTTGTATCAAATTTCTTTCACTATTTCAGCACAACTTCCTCACTGTCACACCCATATACAATCAATATTCCCTTCCTTAATCCTAAAACCTAAAGTTTTGCATCCTAAATTTCCTAGTTCCATTACAAGGAAGTCAATTATATACTTTTCTTTAGATTCAAACTGTCAGACACCTCAAATTAGACCACAAATTCTCTTTCGCTCAAGAACACCTAACACTAAAAAGGCAGCAGGTGCTCTTATCAAGGAATCCCACCTCAGGTTACTCAAAACAGAATTCAGCCAACTATCTTTCCTTTCCTAAAGTTCTTTTACTTTTTCCTTTAAAATGGAAGAGAGATTAATCTAAAATGGAATATTAAGCTTCAGTAACTGCTTCTGGCAAACCCAAGGGCTCCAAGACACAATGTGCTCTTCACAAAAATAAATCAAAATATATATACAGCATAGTGTGTGTATATAATCGCTCTAGGACTGGAGTCAGATTCCTGGCTGTGTGACCTTCTGAGTCTCAGTTTTAAATTTCTACAATGCTGATACTTGAGCCCTTGCAAGATTATCATGAGCAGTAAATCAGAAAAATGCACCTGATTTTTGGGGTAGAAAGATTCTACAATACTATAGAAAGTTTTCAACTAATTCTAAATACCTTTTTACTGAGATGGCATTATATACTGCAAACGAAAACTGCACTTTGAGTATGAGAAAGTCTTGTTTTTCTTTCTTTCTTTCTTTTTTTTTTTTAAGCGGCTGTGCGTCCTGGGCCTTGAAGTCAGGGCCTTGAGCGTGGTAGGCAAGCACACTACCAATTGAGCCACACCTCCAGCCCCCTCCTCTTTTTTTGCTTTAGTTATATTTCAGGGCAGGGCTGGAGTTTGTGCCTCCAGCTGGCCTCAGGTAATGATCCTCCTACCTATGGCCTCCCCAATAGCTGAGACTCAGATGTGGGCCACCACACACAGTCTAGAAGCAGTCTTCTCATTAAAAAACTCCTACAGAAGGGAAAACATTAGTTTAATCCAAAATTTAGATTAATAATCTTTGAAAACACCCCTGATAACCTAACATTTGAATAAGGATCTATCAACACTTTTCTTAATTTGTTTTAGTAAAAGAAAGTATGAAACCTAACTACCACATGAGGCCACCCCATTTGAAAATCCTTTAAAAAAATTTAGGGTTATCATTACCATTAGATATCTTTAAATACAAAGGACATAGCAATTGTATTATTTTACTGCTAGCAGAAAATGGTCACTGTAACCAGATAAACTAGTGAATATTAAACTGGAGAAGCTGGAGATGTAGTCTGGTGGTAAAGTGCTTGCCTAGCATGCACAAGGTCCCGTGTTTGATTCCCACTACTGCCCAAAAAACCCCAAAAAACAAACCAAAAAAACCCCAACCAGGAAAACCTCCAGAAAAGCTTCAAACATTCTTCTAATTCTTCAACCAATTACAAGTACTGACTATTCAATCTACTGATTTGATTTACACTAAGATACACTTGAGGTACCATTTTAGAAAAAAAAATTTTATGACCACACAAATCAGAAGGGGAAAAACAGGTCGTCCCCTACCCCCTTTTTTAATTAAATAGGGCAATGCCTAAATTTTAGCTTCAACTCGATGGAAATCTTACATGTACTTAGATGGGTCCACTAGATGACATAAAAGTAAGAACTAAATTAAAAGTTCCATTGGTAGTTCAGGTCCCATAAACCAAATGAAAACAAGCATTCACAAAAATTCTTTGTTAAAGTTAAACAAAAAGATGGCAAATTTTCTTTCCCTAACTTCTCAAACATTTTCAAAATAATAAATACAACTATCTCCAAATATTTTAATTGTATGACCTTAAATCTTCTCGGGACAATAGATACATCCTAAAGCATATGCGGGTTCAACTATATCCAGGCTCCAAATTTCATCCAAATCCAATCTTAAATGTAGTTTTGTTCCTATTCTATTGCTTTAAATCTCTCAAGAAGAAAAGTCTAAATCGACCTTCGGATATGACAGATTCCAAGAGTTTTTGTTATGAATTTCCAAAAAGAAATTCATTCCTTCCAGCATACCCCTCAGGTTTTTATGTGTTTCCCCTAGTGACTGGAATAAATACCAACACAACAGCCTGATTCTGTTGCCTGGGGCTTTTGTTTTCTTTTCAGGGTTTCACACTCACTCCTATTAATTTCCACTACTAGGGTAACTTCGGAAATAACTCAAAACACCGACAAACGTTCTAGTGCACTTAAGCTGAGCATAGCGACTTTTTTTTGTGATGTTTACATTCATCTGATCCCAAACCTAAGGCAAACCTTCCGAGCCCTCTTTGGGGGAGAGGGGAGGGAAGAGGAAAAATCTGAGAAGAAATGGCAAAGGACCTGTAATTTTTAAGATAATCTTCTAAAATAGTATAAACTGACTAGCTATTTTTAAAATACTGAGCCATGAAATTCATTCAGTTATGTAAGCTTACAGTAAGAAGATTCCTTTAAAAAAATCTTTTTTTTTTTTTTACCGTAAAAAAACCTGTAAAGGAGTAGTCAGGTTTTAGATGAAAGGTCATAGGAAGAAAAGCATTACAAGTTGAAAAATAAAGAAGAGTACAACACCCAACATCACGGAATGAGAACAACAAGGCGTGAGTACATGCCCCCACACATTCATCTCGCAGGGAAAGCAAAGGAAAAGGGGGGACATTAGGGCTCCTGGCGCGGCTTTCCCTCACAGCTCTCGCTTAAGAAGGCTTAAGGGTCGGTGCGATCGTTGACTAACCACTTCATGGGGCTCGTCCCACCTTCAACCTCAAGGCTTTTCGCCTTTATAGACGCAACGCCGCCGGGTCCGACGGAGAAGCGGCCGCTCACTGCAATAGAGAGCCAAGGAGACACAGGCCCCAGCTAGTCCCCGCGCATTGGCCCCCGAGACCTCCACGAGGTTCGGGGGTCGCCGGCATCGCCACCGCAGGAAGCACCTACCACTATCCGGCCCCAGGGGAGGGAGGGAGGGGAACTCCCTGCCGCCGCCTCCCGCCCACCGCGGGACACGGACCGGACCTCGGGACAGGGCTGGGGAGGGGGCCGGGACAGAGAGGGACAGAGAGGGACAGGACCAAGTTGAGGTACCAGTCCCCTCCCCACTACCCCAAAACAGGAGGGGAGGACGGGTATTCGTAGTACTTGGGGAAGGAGTGGAACCCAGAAGCCATCTTGGGATGTGAAGAAGAAGCAATGGCGATGACTCCAAAGGTTACTCCCCAGCGGGGCCCCCGCAGGTCTCCCCGCAACCTTGCCCGACCGCGCTCGTCCCGTGAAACCCCGAGCATCGGGCCGCCGCCGAAGACGGCTCCCGCGGCTTTGTACTCACTCTGCCCTCGAAGTTGTTCTCCTCTACATCACTCATGTCGGCCAGGCGCTCCCCCAGAACTAAATAAGAGACAAGTCTCGGCTCGAGGGCCGACGGCCTAAATCAACTCGCTGTCTGGACCGTGGGGAGGAGGAAAGAGTCGGCAACAACGGCCGCTCTACTCCACTCCCACCAGGTCGCAGGCTCCGGCAAAATGGCGCCGGCGCCGCCTGAAACCTTCTGGCGTCTCCAGTGCGCGACGTAAGGGGGCGGGCCACCAGTGACGTCACGAGGCCCCGCCTCCCGCGAGGCTTTGTGTCAGCCTGCGCGGGAGAGTGGCGGGTGTCCTGAGCCCGGCTTGCGTCCCTGACCTCCAAACTTCAGACCCGGCTCTAACGCATCGACCTCGTAGAAGACTTAGAGTCATCACATGAGCTTTTAGTGATGTTAGTCCTTTTGAATATTGTCCACATGTATTCTGATGAAGGGGAAGAGAAAAAGCTGGAAAAAATACATTAATAGACTTATTTTTGAATGCTTTCAGCAGACTATTTTCACCATCTGCCCTTTTTAATACATGCACAGATGGGATTAAATGAATAGCCACAGTTCTTGCCTCACCCCTTGCTGCCTCCAGTCCCTCCTCGTCAATTTTATTATATTTTTATAATGCTTAGTTCTCTAATAGGTTTTGTTTGTTATTATAGTTGTTGGTGCTGTGGTTTGAATTTAGGGCCTGGCACTTGCTAAGCAGGTTCTCTGCAGCTTGAGCCACACCCCCAGCCTTGATCTACTAGTTTTTTTGTTTGTTCATTGGTGGGACTGGGGTTTGAACACAGAGCTTCAGCTTGCAAAGCAGACTTCTACAGCTTGAGCCACACCTCCAGTCCATTTTTCTCCGGTTATTTTGGAGATGGGGTCTCTCGAAGTATTTCCTCCATTGGCATCCAACTGTGATCCTCCCAATCTCAGCCTCCCAAATACCTAGGATTCCAGGTGTGAGCTATCATGCCCAGCTAGTTTTTGGATTAGACAGTCCTGAAAGTTTAATAGGCAAGATGCCCCAAATATATCCAAATCACGGTTCCAAATCACGGTTATAATTTGAGATGACTTCACCTTTATTTGCATAATGCAATTTTAAAACCTAGTTTTCCTCTTTTAAAAATCTTTTCTCACTGGACATGGTGGCTCATGTCTGTAATCCTAGCTACTCAGGAGACAGACATCAGGAGGATTAAGATTTGAAGCCTGCCCAGGCAAATAGTTCTTGAGACTCTATCTCGAAAATATACAACGCAAAAAAGAGGTTTGCAGGGTGGCTCAAGTGGTAGAGTGCCTACCTAACAAGTGTGAGGTTCTGAGTCCAAACCCCAGTACCACCAAAAAAAATAACCAAAGTAAAAGGGATGGGGGCTCAAGTGGTAGAGTGCTTACCTAGCTAGAGGCCCTCAGTTTCATCCCTAGTACTGCAAAAGATAGCTTTCTCTTTTTTCTCAGAGTGCTTTTTTTTTTTTTTTTTTAGCAGTAGTGGAGTTTGAACTCAGGGTCTCACACTTGCTAGGTAACCACTCTATCACTTGAGCCACTCCACCAGGCCATTTTTATGGAGGATTTTTCAAGATAGTCTCTCAAACTATTTGCCCCAGCTGGCTTTGAACCATGATCCTCCAGTTCTCTCCCTCCTGAGTAGCTAGGATTTCAGGCCTAAGCCACTGGCACCTGACTCTTATAGTGCTTTGTGATAAAAAGGGTAACATGGACTCTCCACTACAGTTTTGTTAGGAAAGCTAGTGGAATATTATTGTAAGATTGACTGGTTTGTTACTTATAGAGCTAAACTTACGTGGCATCGATGTAGATGAAGTCAGTGGTGCTCACCTATAATCCCAGCCCTTGTAAAGCAAGGCAGGAGGATAGTGATTTTGAGGTCAGTCTGGGCAACATAGGAAGACCCTGTGTCAAAAAGCCAAGGATGGGGGATGTAGTTCATTGCCTAGCATGCACAAGACTCTGGATTAGATCCTCAGATTTAAAAAAAGATGTTGAGCTTTATAATGAGGGATCAGGCAGATAACATGTGAACCTGTGATCAATCATAAAAACCATTAAAAATGTGACAACCGGTGACTGGAGGTGTGGCTCAAGTGGTAGAGTGCCCAGTTTACAAGAGCAAAGCCCTGAGTTCAAAATTCCATTTCCACCAAAAAAATTTTTAAAATGTGACAACCAGAATGAGATACCTCATGGTGATATGACGCAATGGAAAATGCACACTGACAGCTGGGCATGGTTACTCACGCCTATAATCCTAGCTCCTTGGGAGGGAGAGATCTGGAGGATCATAGTTTGAGTTCAGCCCAGCAACAAAGTTCAAGAGACTCCTGTCATTCTAGCTAGTGGGAGGTGTAAATAAGAAAACTACTATCTAATCCTGCCTGGGCATAAATGTGAGGCCCTATTTGAAAAATAGTGAAAGCAAAAAGGGATGAGGGTATGGCTCAAGTGGCAGAGTGTTTGCCTAGCAAGTGCAAGACCCTGAGTTCAGCCAGGTGCCAGTGGCTCACATCTGTAATCCTAGTTACTCAGGAGGAAAGGATCAGGATAGTGGTCCAAGGCCAGCCAGGGCAAATAGTTCTTGAGACTCTCTCTGGAAAAAACTCTTCGAAAAAAAGGGCTGGTGGAGTGGCTCCAGGTGTTGGCCCTGAGTTCAAGCCCTAGTACCGCAAAAAAAAAAATAAACCCTGAGTTCAAACCCTAGTGCCAGAGAGAGAGAGAGAGATTGAGGGGGGGATATTCTTTTCTGGAGGGTGGGGGATTGGTACAGGGATCTAAACTCAAAGCCTTGCACTTGTGCTCCACCACTTAAGCCAGGTCTCCAGACGCTTGAAATAGTCCTGATCCCTTAAGTTAAACTTCAAAGTTAATTAAGTCCTAGATCTAACTAACAGTATTTTAGGCAGGGAATTGAAAAATAAGGAAAAGATTCACCAAGAGGAACCAATTAGCTTCTACAGTATATATAACCTAATTTCTCCAACAGATTAAAATCAAGAGTGCGACTAGGATGGACTATCAGGGACAGAGAAAGCCTTAAGATACAGAATCAAAGGAACTAGAGAAAAGGTTAGATCAAAAAGAATTAACCTAGAAGGTAACACCCACGCACAGGAAATCAATGTGAGTCAATGCCCTGTATAGCTATCCTTATCTCAACCAGCAAATCCCCTTGTTCCTTCCTATTATTGCTTATACTCTCTCTACAATAAAATTAGAGATAAGGGCAAAATAGTTTCTGCTGGGTATTGAGGGGGGGGAGTGGGAGGGGGCGGAGTGGGTGGTAAGGGAGGGGGTGGGGGCAGGGGGGAGAAATGAACCAAGCCTTGTATGCACATATGAATAATAAAAGAAAAATGAAAAAAAAAAAAAAAAAAAAAAACAAATATGGATCTGGTGATCTTGACTCAAATGAACCCAGCGAGAACATTCTGAATAAGAACTGGGAATTCAATGATATTTAGAATTTGTTAATTTTATTAGGTGGAATAATGGTATGATGGATACATTTAGAGAAAAAAAATCCTTATCATGAAATCATATTTCTGAGATTTGCTTTAAATTACTCTAGGGGAAAAAAAAAGAAAAGAAACGCTGTAAATAAGGGGTAGATACTAATTATTCTTTCTATTTTTGTCCATTTGAAATTTTCTATAATAAAGATTTTTTTAAAAATCACATCAAGAAGCATTTTAAAACAGAAATGGTCAAAATGTTGGCAACTTGTTAAGCTACTGAAATTTATTGTTAATAAATTTCTAGCATCTGCAATATAGTACTTTGAGGCATAATAGTTATTTGAATGGAAAAGTTCTGTTTTTTTCTTCATCGTGAAGTGATTTCAGACTTATTTTAAAAATTAGCTGGGTAGCTGTGGTTCTAGCTACTTAGGAGGCAGAAATCAAGAAGATCATCGTTCAAAGTCACCCTGGGCAAATAGTTTGCAAGATCCTATTTTGAAAATATCCAATACAAAATAGGGCTAGTGGAGTGGCTCACGTGGTAGAAGGCCTGTTTAGCAAGCATGAGGCCCTGAGTTCAAACCCTAGTACCACAAAAAAAAGTTGTAAAAATATTTCTGTATACAGCATTCTTTTCACCCAACTTCCCCAAATATTTATGTCTATATAACCACAGTATAATCATTAAATCACTAAATTGACATAACCATGGTTTCTTATTCCCTGATTTCAGTTACCTGTGGCCAACTGAGGCTCCAAAATATTAAATGGATAATTGCAGAAACAAGCAATACATTACATGCCATTCAGCATGCTGTAATCTCACACAGTCTGGTTCTGTCCTGCTTGAGCACAAATCATCCCTTTTTGTACCATAGCTGTGCTATATACACTGCCAGCTGTTTTGCCAATCATTTTATAGTCCTTGCGGTTATCAAATCCATTGTTGCAGTATTGCAGCGCTTAATTTGCCAGGTAAACTTTATCACAAGTGTGTTTGTATGGGCAAAAAAAAAGTATGGATGTGGTTTGGTACTATCTGTGGTTTCAGACAACTACCGGGGGTCTTGGAATCTACTACCTGAGAATAAGAAGGACTATAAACAGACTGGTGGAGTGACTCAAGTGGTAAGAGCACCTGCCTAGCAAGCCTGAGGTCCTAAGTTCAAACTCTAGTACCACAACAAAAAGGACTACCAATAAACATGAAAAGATGCTCAGCATTGTGTCAGAACACACACAATGACATTCTATTTACATCTGCCAAGATGGCTAGAATAATAATTTTTAAAAAATAGAGAAAAACAAGTCTTGACAAGGACGTGGAGAAATTGGAACTTGTGTACATTGCATGTGGGAAGTAAACCGGGGCAACTTCTGGTCTCAAAACACTGAACACAGAATTACCATCTGACCCAGCAATTCTGCCCCTAGGAATTCAATGAAATGAAAATAGATGTTCACACAAAAACTTGTACATGATTGTAGCAGTATTGTTCTGAATCATCAGAAAGTAGAAACAACCCAATCTATCAGCTGATGAGTGAACTAAAAATGTTGTATATCTATACAATGAAATATTATTTAGCTACAAAAATGAAGTACTATTATACGGAATAATTTGGATAAACTTTGAAAACATTGTGTAGGTGAATGAAACCAGACACAAAAGGCCACATATTG